CTTTCGCAATTGTAAAAGCGATTTTCGAGCAACTGTCGTGTAACTGTCATTTGCCTCCGCCACTCTTGCCCGCTTTTAATAAAACATAACTGAATTTACAAGTAGCACGAATTGTGTTGGTCATTTGAGAGCCTTGAAGTGCATACCCGAATTTCATACGAACAACATTTTTTTTTTTCGTTCACAATTTTCGTCTTGTACTAGCTATTAATGTCAGCCCAATTTTCATTTTATTTACAGCACTTTTGTTCTAAATAGCTCTCAACTGTATAATAAAAGCTGTAACCATCTTTGATTATTAAAGTATACGAAATCGGGGTAAACCTTGTTCTGTTGAGCACAATGTTTTGGTTGGATATAATTGAAAATGGCGAATATGGTACACGTGTATAAACTTCACAGCTGTGGGACAATTGGTTCGTGAGACATCGTGAGGTCTTAAGTGACGCAAGTTTAGGAATTTAAAATTAGATTGAATGGAATTTCGTGTGCTAATGAAACTTTACCTTATGAAGAGAAAAAATCTTTGTTGACTCTGTAGCCTCACTATGCTGGATGTTAACCGGTTCTCTATCTAGCGAAATAACCAGTTGTAGGTGGTTTTGTGCAGCCACAAGAGCATACAAGACGATGAATAAAGTCAAATCTCAAAAAAATATGCAAATCGATTTTAAATTAGTATAAAGTGAAGTCGAGCCGATAGCTGAATAGACTATCCAAGATTTTGTTGAGCATATCGTTCATGAATATTTGGATTGGCAAAAGCTAGATCAAAAATAGCAACAAGCTGATGATAATGACTAGTGTTCAGAGCTTTTTAATCGTAATAAAATCAAATTATTTTACTACGGCTATTGAAGAGTGTTTCAGAAACATTTTAACATGGAAATAGCTGTCAAAGGGTTAATATGAAAAAAAATAAGACTCGTAATCTTTTTTCGAATTTTTTTTAATTGGCCATACCTTGTGGGTAGTCTAGACTTAGACTTTTTATCGCGTACTTACTGCTGGACCGAAAATTTAGCCACAATGAAAAAGTTATCATCAAAGTTACTTCAAGAATGGCATCACAATATTGGAATAACGTTATAATCGGTATTTCATATCCGATCACAACTATTTTGAATAATAAGACGAAATATTTCATTAGTAAATGGATGAAGAAGGATCGAAGTTTTAGTTTTAATTAATAAAATGGCGGTCTCAGAAACATTTTTCTAGGCTTTTGGGAAAAGTCCAACAGTTATTTGCTTATAAAAAATCGAAATGAAAACAAAAAATATATATTAATTTAATATATACATCAATCGAGATATATGTATATATGAATATATTAGTTTATATTGTATTAATTTATATTTGTTTATATATCTGCCGAGCGATGTTGTGCAGGTAGTATTTTACCTTCTCGTGTTTGTTTTTTCGACATACCGATGATCATTACGCCCACAATCAAGTTAGCAATAAGAACTTTTTGACAAAGAAACATTTTTATACTCTTGCAACATATTGCTATAAAGTATAATAGTATTGTTCATTTGACGGTTGTTTGTATCGCCCAAAACCTAATCGAGATAAGTTTATATATATACATATACAATATATATAAATGATTACGATGACGAAACGAGTTGAAATTCAGTCTGTCCGTCCGTCCGTTCATCTGTGCAAGCCGTAACTTGAGTTAAAAATTAAGACATTTGGAAGGGACAGAGGGCTTTAGAGGTGCCACTGTCAAAATTTGCCGCTGTAGCTTCCTTACTTGTTATTTATTGATTTTTTTTTAAGTCAACTAAGATTTTCTTAGTATGTAAGGACGTACTTTGCCTCTAATTTAAAATTCGTATTGATATGGCACATTCAACGTTTTATGTCGCTTTTGAACGGCTACCAAAAAATAAAAGTGGTAAACCAGATAAAATCTGTAAATAACAACAACAATGCTGGATATGTGAGTAAATTTTGTTATCAAGAAAAGAAGTGTACAAAATTTCCAGATTAATTTGCTTTTCCTAAATTCGCTATTTTTTCTGCGTTTTTGTTGTTTTTAAAACATATCAATATACAAATATATTTTATTTAGCACATACCTACATATTATTAATTAAGTAATTAGATATTGAGAGTGAAAAAAAAGAAAAGCAACAATAAATAGCTGCTCTCAATCAAAGTAAGATTGAACTCGTTTGAACCAAGTGAACTGGGCGTGTATTCGTATGCAAACACTTAAGGTGAGAGAACAAACTGTTTTCACATCGTTCTTAATTTACCCATAGCACGCAACTTTGTGAGAATTGTGAGAAACATAGTTGCTCCTGTGTTTTTCTGACAGAGCTTTAAATATATATATGTATTTATTACAATATATACATATACCACATTGTCTTGCAAAAAGTTACCCAAAGAGATAAACCGCGCTGTCCTGCAACACTCTTCGTTGCATAAAAAACCTACGCTCTCTTCTCTTCGTATTTTTACGCTTGCTGCTCGAAATTTGTATTTCACATGCATATTTATATATGCATGCGCTCTACTGTTGCAAAAGCTACAATTTGTTAGTGAAAGCTTTTGCCATTCGCTTACATTGCCAGCCGTGCACAAGCGGCTAGTAGAGAAGTTCCTTCTCGCTCATCTTCCCAACACCTTAATGATTGTGAATGTCTAACGTTGTTAGCCTTTGAAGTATGTAACTAACGAAAAACGACCAGCATAAAAGGCGTTGGTAGGTGCGCAGAAACGGTGCTAGGGAGTTCCTGACACGAAATTTCTTTGCTGCCACTACACCGAGAAATATTGCTCAGTTGCAGCTGTTAATTTAGTATTCTTTTTATGCTTGCTCTTTGGCATTTATTTGCGCCTTGGTAACTTTGTCGTTTTTGTTTTGCTGCAAAAAATTTCGGCGCTTTTATTCGCTCTAAGTTTGCTTATATTTGCATTTGTTTTTTGTTTTTGGTGTTGTTTTTGGTTTTGCTTTCTCATCTGTTTTGTCCTTTGCATTGGCATTTAACCTCGTGCACGAACACAGTGCGCGCATAATACTGGCCGCCTGGCTTGCCCTCAATTTAATCAAGGCTTTTTTGTTGCTACGAACTTTTGCAAGCCTCTCCACCGCAATCTCTCTGCCGCTCTCTAATTTTGGATTCTAAATTGTGACACCGTTGTTTGGCCGTACATTGTATGCCTGGACAGGTCTACAGCGCTGCTTGCGCATACAAGCATTTAGTCCTATATACATACATACAAATGTATGCAATATATACGTCATAGCTGTGTGCGTCTGCATTGAAAGTCCTTGTGAAATATTCTTCTTTTGTTTTTCAAACAAAATTTCATTTAAAAGTTTTTATCTGCGTTTGCATTTTACTTTCAGTTTTGCACAATTCCAGTGCACAGCTTCTCATGTGTCTTCTGTCGTGGTAGCCAGATTTCGGTTGCTTTGTTGTTGTTGTCACTTTTTGGTTTTCAACATTCTTGCCACTTTGTTGCCAATTGTGAATTTTTTGTACTTCTTTAAAGGCTATGCGTTGCTTTGTTTTTGTTTTTGTTTCTGCCTTGTTACAATTTGTTGGCGTTTAAAGTGTAAAACTTTTGTGCTTTCAAGTATGCGCTGCAAAGTCTTTTTGCGTACCACACTGCGTATGAGTAATGCGCTAATGAACTTTTTATTTGCTGTTGAAGTTTTGTCTATCTTATTCCATTCTACTTGCTTGCTTGTCTTTAAACATACATACACATAAAACATGTGCGTGTGAGCGTGTTAATGTATGCGTGTTTGAGCGGTGGCGATGAAAGGCTTGAAAGCAAAACTTTTTAATTGGGAAAAATGCAATAAATGAAATGAGTGTTTGAACTGATAAGCATTAATGAGTTAGATGCTTTTGCGAAAGCGTTTTTGTGGTAAAGAACTTTTAAAAATGCCACTTTGTGGTTTCTAAATTTAGTGTTTAGTGCACAGTACCTAAATGAAATTCAAATTAGAAGTTAAATAAATGAATTAAATGGCATGCATCTGATCAAATTTTTCTCGAACTGATCCATTCAAACTGTGCGCGCAAATGATACATTTTATTTCCTTGGCAGTATAACCGTTTTTATTGTACGAGTGAAATTTGATATCCATATGTCAATTAGTGTGTAAGTGGCAGCTGTTTGTTTACGACACGAAAAGTTTGTCTGGCAACATTTACCATGGAAAGAAACGAGTTTGCTTGGAATTTTATCTTTCCTATGGAATCACGGCTACGAAATAGTTAAAAATGTTTTAAAGAGTCTATTTTATCACCAAGCGTTTGAGTGGCGCACGGTATTAAGTGAAGGTCGTGAAGTCATCGAAAACCTACCACAAGCCAGTCCATACGCTTCCATTAATGCGATAACATCGCAAAAGTTACAAATAAAGTACTCGAAAAGCATCGGATTGACATCAGAAGGAGATCATATGACTTTCAGATTGCTTATGGATCAACACAACATATTTTGTTTACTATTATTGTGGGTATGAAGCATATCAATGTTAGACTCGTACCAAGAGATCCGAATCTTTAAAAAAAAAAAACGACGTCGTTTAAAAATCGCAAAGGCGATGCTTGAAAAGGCAGCTGAAGATCCTACATTCATCACACGTATCATAACTGATAGAGTGGCTAGATATTTTAACTGTCCAAGAAACGAATGGCGCTCGACAAACGAGCCGAAACCGAAAAAAATCAAAATTCGCTGCAAACACTGAAGACCAATTTAGCTGAGGCTTACAAAAAGTGTATGACAAATTGGATTAACGGTTAACACTTTTGTATTCGCTCAAAAAGAAACTTTTTTGAAGTTGATAATAAAGAGTTATGAAAATTTAGTTTTTTTTATCAGTTTGAGTCAAATTTAGTGGTATGGTATTTTCGCTCTCTGTTCAAAAGGCGTTAAACCATATTTATTTTGAGTTGTTTGAAACAACAACATTTTGGCCTATTAATATAACCAAACAAATACTTTTTCTTTTCTTATAGGACTGGTGGCGGCAGCATGTTGGGTGATGTTAACATATCCGCTATTCTCGATTCATTTAGTGTTAGTTACGACAAAAGAGTAAGACCTAACTATGGAGGTGAGTTTTACGATTTCAAAATATTCAAACAAAATATAAAAAAAATTTAAATTTCAAACGACATTATACATACTAAAGCGCGTCGTTAGTGTCTTATGCGAAAGTATACATGCAGTTAAGGTTAGCCATGTGCTGAACTGCAACTTTAGATCTAAGGCGGTGATGCACCGTTATATTAAGCAGAAAATTATAATAATTGCAATAACTGTTGGTTTTGCGCTCATACTATATATACACACACTCAAAAAAAAACAGAGTGGTTCAAATATCACAAATACACTTACTTTCTAAGTATTCATACAATACATAATCTCTGCATACAATATATCATATTTTATAGCAGTAAAATAAATAAGTTTCTTAAGGAATGCGTAAATTTTCTGCTCTTAAAAATTTAATACTCATTTAATATAGTTTCCCATATGCTAATCATATACTTTTCTCATGCATTTTCATAACTAAAAATATTTTCAAAATCTTATTCTAATATACATGTGCATTTGCAATTTTATTTTCACACGCACACTGACACATACACAAGCATTTCAAAAAAGTGAAATCTACAATTAGTTATGATTACATCATTGCACACTAAAGGCTCTCATAAGTCTAAAGCTAAAACGTTTTTTAAAAAATTATTATTGTTTTTTGTGAAAATATCTTAATATCTAACTACAAGAAAAAATAGCTATAATGCCGATTTAATTCGTAATATTGTAAGAAAATGTTATTTCGTTAACTTCTTCAATTCTTTTGTTCCCTTTTGGTAGTTCTCTGCGTTTTACTTTTATAATTTTATTTGCCTTCTTTAAATTGATGCAACATATTGATGTTTCAGGACCTCCCGTTGAAGTCGGAGTCACCATGTATGTGCTATCGATCAGCTCGCTGTCTGAAGTTAAAATGGTACACAATACGCCCAAAATGTACCTTTTACTAAGAACACAAAAAAGTTGTCTCTTTTCTTGTTTTTACAATTAGCTGATTTTAGTTTCTTAGTAATATTAGCATTTAGTTTTGAACGTACTGTCTTCTAACTATTTGCGTCTGCATTTTTTACACTTTCTTTTACATACTTTCTTCTACTTTGTTACATTGAATAATATTGCTAATAGTTGTTACAAATTTTGAACATTTAATATACTTTCCACTTATTTTTAGTTATTCGTTTGTTGTGCGAGTTTTATCTATTTGGTTGGTATGCATATTAAAAAATCATGCATTTGCGCGCTGTACCTTTGCATATAAACATATTCTTTTTGTCATATATTGTTTTTATTAGTTTTATTAATTTCCTTACCTATCGTTCTCCTGTGCCGAGTCTAACTAGTTTCGTTGTGATAGCATTTGGTCTATTCTCAAAATGTTTCTTATTATTGCTGCGTTATCATTTGAATACTTATTTTTATAGGTCTGCCTAGTATTACTTGAAAAATTTAAGGTCAATACTTTGCCGACGAAAAACAAAACTGGGTTAACCTATAAGTTGTACTAAAGAAAAGTTTTTAGAAATAAATATTTTCGATTTATAAGCGCTTGTTTCTATCGATTCAGGTTGTTTAACGTTGATTGCGTCCAACGGTGCCTTGATTGGCTAATACATACTCTATGCTGAACTATATAAAATCTATTGAAGATACTTCTAATATTTGCGAATTTAATTTCGTAGTAGTTTATGCATTAAGTTTTCTGCTTACAGTCGTTTTAATTGACCTTATAAATTGGAGAGACATAAACACATTATGTGTGTAGTAGCCCGTCTGTATAAGATTTAGGGATTGATTAGAGAACTGGAGGCTTTATATCTTGAACACTTTATTCTTATAATTTTTTTTTAAATATTTAGCGGTTAATTTTAATCTATATCATTTTTTATTTCAATATATAAATTTATATTTTTATAACTTCAATTTCTGAACTAAGGAATTGTTTACTTTGCTTTCTTCACCGAAGCCACAATATCTACAATTATCATTCAATTTACAGATTTCGGCTATAACCAAATTTTGCTGTCCTGATATCAATTGTCGAGCAGTTGTGTTGTAGTAGTAGGAAAAATTACCTCGGGTCGATTTAACTCACTTATTTTCTTATTTTTGTAAGAGACATTATTAATTATATTGAGTGTTGCTAGATTTTACTATTTCCTTTACCCGAACCCTCGATTCAGTGAGTAAAATATCGGGCCTAATTAAAAGTCATGTTTGTTTTATTTTTTATTGTTCGCTGTATCTTGAATAACTCTTCATGTAAGTAACTGAATTTGAAGTTTTTAGAAAAGAGACCAATTGTCATCTTATGTATTTTCTTAATATAATAAAAAGATCTTCAAAGTCTTTACTTTTTAATTTTTCCTTCACTAAATCACAGCTCCATGACGCAACAATGCGTGCTTCTTATTCTAGAGCTCTCTAGATTTAGATAAACTTTTTTTTATCTCAAAATTTAAGTTAAAGCTCTTTGCTTTGTGTGATTTTCGAATAGCTGATTGAAAACACATTATTTGTCAATATAAAAAGAAAAATATTGTCTTTATGTCTAATATAAAAATATTGTGCACTTAAAGTTTGAAAAAGATTTGAATTTTTATATTTACTAATGTTTACTTTATGGATGTAGTAACACCAGTGAGGGTTAACCTAGTTTGTACTATGAAAAAAGATCTGGGCAGTAAAAGCAACGAAAAGGGTTTGAAAAGAAAAATCTTTAAAATCATTCGGCGCTAAAAGTCATACAAATTTGTTCTAGTTAAGTATATATTTTTAAAATGAGAGTGCATTGTTAACTATTATTATATATTCCGAGGTATCTCCTGGTTTTAAATATGGAGTTATTTTTTAAAACTTAACTTATTTATCTTTACTAATATTGATAAGGAGGGAAAAGCGAGAAAGGCAATTTTATCACTTACTATTAGGTAACATAATAATAACTGATTAGGCAGAAGCTTCAAAAGTTGTAGTGAATATTTTTTAACATTACTGAAAAAATTCAATTTACTCATGCATCTTATTTAGAAACCGGTAACTATTACGGAACGCAGTTAATTCGGTAAAGTTGCATATATATAATTTATAGAGCACGAGTTTCTTCATAAAGACTTATATTCGGTCGATATATAAACTGAAATTTATTTTATATTAAAACTAATCATCATCATATCATTATGCATTTGTAACCACACACCAAACATAAAATTTGATTTGATAACTATTTTCATGCAGTCATTATTGCTTTACACATAGTAAGACCACGCCCTAAAAACACTGAAATTTATAGACTAATTGTTGTTACATGAATTCACCAAAACTAAAGACATTCAATATATTGGCACGAAAAAATATGACATTGTTATGACACTTAAACTATGTACACCATGATATATATTTTATATATATTTTTATATATAAACTATATTTTAGTACACTTATCTACTGCCGTCTAATTTAATGTTGATCTAAATTGTCTTCTACTTATTTTCGAACTTTTTTTGAACATTAAAATCTCACATCATATTTTTCTTTCTTCGGACCTGATGATTACATACAAGTGTTTATATATGTATCTGCAAAAAAAAACACAATTACAACTTGCAAAGGGTATATGCAAAAAGTAAGAAATGTATAAATATATGAAATGCCAAATATTTGCTTATAAAAATAATGTTTTTACTTAAAGTAAGAAGAGAATTTAGATTGATTTGGTTTTCATTCGACACTTTGCCATTCGTATGACACGTATGACAGATAAATGTGTGTTATAAATACTGCAGCTGTGACAAGCAGGCGTAATGTGTGTTTTATATAAATATTTAGGGCTGAATATTGCTAGTGAAAGCGGCGTACGGTGCGTATGAGTAACAGTTGAGGGTTTGCTTTTGTGGCATAAAGTTTAGGCTAAAATATTTCTAACAGTTTTGTATTTATATAAAATGAACTCATTAAATAACTAAACAAACTTTTTTACTGTTGTACAGTTACTTGTGATAGTGTATGAACGAGAAGTTCTTGCATTCAGATTTATATTACTAAATGCGATATTGCAATAATTAAAAACATTTACATTTCATTGCTTTGAACGCACTTCCGTCCACTGCTTTCACTAACAATATTCTATATATGTTGATAACGATTAATTTTTATTTATTTGTAACGATCTACTCCCATCGACATAGTCTTCGTCTTCGCTGCTTTCGAATAGTAACCAAAGAATATGCTTATATAATAATACAATATGCGAGTTTTAAATTAGTGGCTTATGCAAATATCTACTTTTTCGATTTTTGGTTTCTATATATATTGCCCTGACATCCTTGAACATCAAATACAAATCCATACCCTAATTCACTACCACTAACCACGACAGAAAATTAAAGGGACGAAGAATGCAAATTTTGTCCAATAATGCAGAAGGAAATGTAATGTTTTCCCCCCACACAATTCACTAATGTATCGTACTATAATAACAAAAACTTGTAATAACAACTATAAGAAAAACAAGCAACTATACAATTTTATAACTTTATATGTATATGTGCAGCAATTACAACAAAAACGTGTGTGTGTATGTTCCAGGTCCCCCTGTGGAGGTTGGCGTCACAATGTATGTCCTCAGTATCAGTTCGGTTTCGGAAGTTCTCATGGTACATATCGCAAAATAAACTAAATACTCGTACATTCATACATAGTACATGCATACTTGTATAACCAAATACTCTTTGTACGCAATTATAACATACTTACAATAAACAGTACAACAAATACAGCTACAGATATATGCCTATAAGCAATACACAACAGGTCAAAAGAGGTGTTTTGTGTTTTTGGTTTTGTTTGCACTTTGGTTGAGTTTTGTAATTTCCGTTTTTCTATAATTTCGATTACGTACAAAAAAATAAATTAATATTGTAATTAAACAAAAAGTAAATATTAACCAAATGGTCATCAATACGGTGGTGAATAAAAATTTGTGAATTAAATTTCCGTTGAATTGAAGTCATTCAAATACTTGAGATTTTGATAATTAAAAAGCATTATGTTTTTAAGAAAAATAAAACCGATGATATACTTCTCCTTACTACACATAAAAATGGCACTAAATACGGTTAGTAGTAACTGACTTGGTAAACAAAGTCTTAGGCGGTGTTCTAGTCTAGAAATATGAAATTGAGGAGTTTTTCGGGTGCTGTAAATAAATAAATAAATCCCATTTCTACTATCAAATTTACCCATTGATGTGGAACAAGCGAATAAAAATATCTAATTAAATGTTATATCATAGTATTTAAAAAATAAAACTAAAAGAAAAAAGAATTTTTGCAAATTAAAAATATCTAAAATAATAATATCTGTTTTAGTACTTCTTTGAGATTTCCAAATTCCTTACGAAATTATAAAAAAATTATTTCATTTGTAAAGATACATAAAAAATTTTATTCAGTAAAAAAAATATATTTTTGAAAGTTGGAATATGAAAATTTAACTTTTATTTTTAATGCTTATAATAGAATACCCTTTACTATCTTTATGGAGCTGTGATGCTCATGAATAATTTTTGTTCATATCATCGAAAAAACGAAAAAGTTTGTGTAGCACTTAAAAAAGAAAAAACCAAACAAATATAATTCTGATGGAAAGTAAACATTTTTCGTCAAATATATCGGGTGACAATAAACAGCGTATCTTTTCGATAATAATCTTTTGCTGGGATCAAAATAAGGCGAAACATCTTCTATGCTGTATTTGAATAAAATTTACTAGTAATGAAATAAGTTTTCGGCTTCTTCCATGAAGCGTAGTCCAACTTTAATTAACATAATATATTATAATTCTTGTAGATGCCTTATCATCACCAAGTCATGTCCAGAATTTCCTCATTAAATATTTAAAAATATAATATATGTTAGTTATTTTTGAAACACTGCAAAAATTTGAAGTCAATAATTTCATTTGTAATTTTTAGGGAAAAAAATTAAAAATTTTAAATGTTTACTGCATAAAAAAAAATATTAAAATCATTTTGAAAAATTAAATAATAATATTTTTTATGAATATTTCTGCTGTGGAGTTTACACACCAAATGATATGCGGGAAATTTATTTTTAATTTTTGACTTTTTTTTGCTCACTTCTCGCTGTTAATTTGCATTTTTTTTTTAAAAGCTATAGAGTCCTTTGCGACTCTTGGCGTTTTACACTGTTGTACCTTACAATTAATATATTATTATTTCAATTAGCTGCTTCATTTGGAGTTTACTTTATTGATGTATATTTATGTGTATAAATATATATATAGTTTTTTCACTACCGCTTTGCGAGCAAGCGCAAGTTTAAATAAACAAATTTTTTAAACATAACTACATACATTAAATCACTGGAACAATGTTCACAATGAAGAATTTAATACACGTACTCGCTGTGAGTTTGTAAACAACTACAAATAAATTTAACATTTTTTGCATATGAGAACTTGTTTTTTTTTTGGAATATTTGCAATGAAAGCGTAATAGTTGTTGTTGCCTAAATAACTGAATTTTGTTTAAACAAACATACAAACATTCATTTGTCTCATTTCTAATTCTATCTTTCTAACTAACGCTGTTACTAACTCTATAAGCTCTTTCTTCTACTCCAACTCTAACTGATCCACCTATCCAACTTTCCTACTTTTATGCCAGCTCCAGTGCTCTGTTTCTACAAGTATACATACTAACATACGAGGTTGTCTATATGAATATTTTACTCACATTTTATTCGAAATTAACTAATTCATGTGTAATTGAACTTGTGTCATCTTTATTCTTTATGGTTTTGTAAATTAACTGTTTTGTGCAACCGCATTACCTGTTTTGCTTTATAATTTCCTATTGCATATACATTTTTTGATATCAGCGTAATCATTAATTTTTTATACTGTCAACACATAACGACATTAAATACCATACACGCATTTATTAACATTGCTTAAGATGTATAATATGTTTTCCAGCAAAATTGTCGCAGCATCTTTACATATATTTTCAATTAAAAAAGCTGCCATTAAAAAAAGTTTTAATTTATTAAATTTATTACACAAAATAAAAAAAATTTCTTCTTTTTAATTAATGCAAGTCTAAAGCGAAAATGTAACTATAACCTTTATAATCTACATTCATACAATACATAAATATTTAAGCGCTTTGAATAGCAACGAAGAATATTTGCAAATTACATAAATACCTCTCAGAGCAATTTTTAGTTTTTCATTACTTGAATCAATAAAACATATATTTGACACATTCATTCAATAGAGACATCACATCGAATACTATAATGTTGCTTTTATTATTTTGATATATATTTTCCGTTAATAAGTGTTTCAATATTTCATATACTAAACAGCATAAAAATGGCTAGTTTACATATAAATATTTGTGTGTGTTTGTGAATATTGATTAATGAAAAAAATTAATATTTTATTTAATTCAAAAATTGTGTATTTTAAATGTTTTCAGTATTTGTATATGTATGTGCGTCTGTTTAATGCCGTATAAAAATCACAACATATATACATAATTATGTACTAAATACATATATCCTTCAAAATAATTAAAGAAGAAATTTTCTTAATTTTGCGCATGATTTTTACACATGTACGATTAATACACATATACAAATGCATCGGTCAAATATTTACATACATAAAAAATTTGGTCAACACTCATCTGCTCTAAATATTAGTCAAATAATTGAGGGCTACATGCAGGTTAAAAATAGCTGGCATAATTCTTATATTAATTTCGTAATATATAGCTTCATTATTTTATGTTTTTCCCTTTTTAATCATTACGATATGCTTTTATTTTCTTTGATATTGCTTTTAATTAATTTGAATTAATTTTTTTTTTAATTTACTGTTTACTGTTTGCTCGTAAAATTTTAAAGTTATAAACTAATAAAATATCATATTTCATACAATTTTAAACTACTCTTGTTTTCTCAATAGAGAAAAAAATATATTCGTATTTACTTTTTATACTGAAACACGCGGTATAGTGGTTGATTGTCCGGTGCTCACTAACATTCAGCAGTAGAAATTAAGATGCTGTTTCTTATGACAATGAACTTTCGGTGTCAATCACAGAACTTGTAAACGTGTTCTTCATGAAAATCCATTGCACTATTGTTCAGGCAAGAAGCGCTTGAAAGGCATGCTATTGGTTTCTACACCGTGCATCACATATAAAGATAAAAAGTCATACAAGCTTCAGATCAAAAAAGAGGAGCTTCTTGGAAACAAAACTTCATTAAAAGAATAATTTCGAAATAATAAGGTTAAAAAGTAGGTAAATTAATTAGATGCTATTAAATGAGGGATGTCGAGTCTTCATTATAACTTTGTTCATTCACGAAAGCTGCTTAGGATTTGACAAAAATTTAGTATCTTTAGCTCATCAAAGATATAAAACAATTCTACATCCTTGTTTAGACCAATCTAAGCCAAATAAAAAGATGTTGGTCCTAGACTTCCCGTATAGTAGCGGGTATGCTGTTTAAGAACTAAAACTCTTAAAATTTTTGCATTGGAATCCACATTTGAAAAAAATTCTTTTTCAAATCCGTAATTCCAAACAAATTTCTTTTCACTTTAAATATAGTAGTTTGCTGTGATCATGTGATTCTGTGGACCCACCAACAATTCAGAATCGACCCAATTCAACTAGACTAGGTGATTTGTATAAGATCATTAATATTGGTGCAAGTTATTTGATTTCCAAAACCCATTAAAAAATCAGTTGCCAACTACTTAGCATCAATATTTTGTTTCGATATTATACATTGTGTATAGCTCAAGACGACCTCTAGATTGTGCTTTGTACTGCCATTTTCTCAACTGAATTTTTGGAATTCTGGACTTTTGAATATCTCTAGCAACAAATTTAATCAAAAACAAGTAAGCAAAGGATTGGTTCAGCTATAACCGAATATTTTTTAATCTTACAACTTGAAGTGATCAAAAATGGGGAAAAACTTCCAGATATAGGCAAAAATTATATTAAAAAATTTTGCGAAAGAATCTAACATTCATTATTCGAAGAAATCGTGAATGAATTACGATCGAATTCGGTATTTTATTATGTTGTATTATAGGTCATAGACTTAATTAGTTTTATATCTATATTTTACTTCGCGTCAACGAAAGTTATCCTCAAATGAGATATATCTGATACAAACTCAACAGAAAAGGCTAAAATTAATATATTGAGTTGATGTGAAGAACGTCAACTAGAGGACCGGAATTCATTATGCATATGTATGTAGTACTCGTATAAGGGAATTGGAGTAATTCGTATACTAATTTCACATATTTTCGGCATTAAACTTAAGCATATCCAATATTATACGTTCAGGAAATTTTCTCAAGATATCTGACTTATTGACCGATATATACGGTACAAAGCCAACCGGAAGTTTGGAGATCTTTTCATTGGGTATATGAGGGTTAAGGGAAGTACTGACCCAATTCAATATACAGATAAACTAATATCAGGAAAGGATTCTCTCTAAATTTCAATTATATATCTTGCATATTGACCGATATTTTCGGTAAAAAGTCATCTATAGGCCCCGTGCCTTACCCTCAGTGTGTTTCGATTTTGACAATT